ATGTAGGACTAAAGCTCAGCAGAAAGGTTAGGCCCAAGTATGTTGATAGGGGAATCATCTGGTTAGAGATTATAGTTGAATTCCTGGGGGCTGAGATAGCATAGAAGGAAAAGAGAAGAGGGTTCAGGAGAGAGCTTTAGGGGAAGCCTATGGTGAGTGGACAGGACCTGACTAAAGATGCAACAGAGACTGAGAAGGAGCAGTCTGACGGAAGAACTAGGAGAGAGAGGAGTCAGGACTCAAGAGGAGATGGTGATCAACAGTGTCAAAGGTTGCAGAGAGGTCAAGAAGGATAAGGCCATTAGGTATGGCAATTAAGAGATCACTGGTACATAGTCATGATCTGGGCCATAAAATAAACCCATTGGTTCCCTGTTCCCTCTATAATCAAGCACAAAACTCTGGCATTGGAAGCTCTTCACCAGCTGGCTCCAACCTATCTTTCTAGGTTTATTACATGTTAATCTCTTTCCTGAACTATACCATCCAGCCAAACTATCTTCCTTTTTACTGTTCCTCATACACAACATTCCATCTCCTATCTCTGCATTTGCATGGCTGTCCCTCATTCCTGGAATAGACCACATTCTCACCTCCGCCTCCTAACATCTAGTTTTCTTCAAAGCTCACACATTGTCTACAGCCTTTCCTCATTCCCCACTTCCAAACTACTGGTCCTCAGCCTTCCCACCCATCCCCCACTTACCTTGTATTTCTTTTTGTACATGTTTTGTATTTATATTTGTTGTTCAGTGTTTCAGTCATGTCTGATTCTTTGTGACCCTGTGGACATGCCAAGCATTCCATGGGGTTTTCTCTGCAAAGATACTGGAGTACTTTGCCATCCACTTCTCCAGTGATCACCTTTTGTCAGAACTCTTCACTATGACCTGCCTATCTTTTAACCCTGAACAGCATAGCTCATTGTTTCATATGCAAGCCTCTCTGCCAAGATGAAGCAGTGATCCAGGAGTGGTTGTATTTATATACAGATGCACATGCATACATACATACACACTTGTGTATGTGTGTGTGTGTGTGTGTATATATATATATATATATATAATATATATATACATATGTATATACATGTATATATATATACGTATGTATATACATGTATATATATGTATATATATACACATACACACAAATGTATACATATATATATATATATATATATATATAGTTATCTTTCCTTATCAAATGTAAGCTCTTTTATGGAAGGGACAATTGTCATTTTTATGTTTGTATCTCTGGCATCTACTATGGTGCCTAGCATTAATAAGTATTTGTTTGATTGACTGGACCCAGAATTGAACAGGAGGAGGAAGGTAGACTGGGTTGCCTTTTAGAAACTATGATAAACTTCTCCCTGAAACAAACATCCTGTTTTTTTTTTTAAAGGACTACTTTCTTTAAAACATTATTCTTCTGGTGATGCTGTATGTCTATGTCATACCACACCACAGCCTTCAAAGAATTAAACCCAAGGGTCAATCAAAGGGCAGTGGAGTAGTCTATGGTGAGCATGAGTAGGGCACGAGGAATTACCAGAGAAGAGCTGGTGCTGGTGCAACAGAAGCCATGCAAAAGATGTCATGGGAGAAGTAATGATGAACACAGAAGGTGGACTCATCATGTAGAGAGTAAGGGATAATGGAGGGGATGGACAGGCTGTATTCTCCATTGGTATCCATGCAATGTCAAGAGAACTAGAATACTCCCTGGGGAGAACTTATGGGGAGTATTGAACAAGAACAGCAGGGGATGAGAGGGCATGGAAGCATTATTATCTGCATGGTACCCACATCAATGAGATCACAGCTTGAAGTGTTCTTTATCTGGCCTCTCAAAAGCTTCTCTCCCCTCCCCCAATTCTATCTATTTCACTTTCCCCTCCCAAGAGTCTGAGGGTTGGACCCAGGATAACTTAATCCCCAGAATGTCCTTGTTTCCTTTTCCCACTGCAATTAACTTTTAAGAGCAGCAATCCATTTCTGCTGGTGGTATGGCTTCAATCATGCAAATGCCTAGGCAGGCCACATATTATTCTACCCTGGCTTCCCACCCCTATTGGAAGCTAAGAGAGCAGCAGCAATTCCCAGAAATCCCTGATAAGAGTGAATTCCACACTCCCCACGCCCCCAGGCCATTACCATCCATTCCAGAAGAATCCTTGACTATAGGGATCCCAGTTGAAATCTGAGCTTAAACCTTGCCGAAGGTGGGCCCTTCAGATAATGATGCTTTTGAAGAATCCTTGTTTAGCAGATGTAATCAATGCATCTCTGAATGGAGGGTCACACATCAGACCTTATTCGTATCTGGCATTCAGAAAGGGAAATCATCTGGGGGAGGGCACAAAAATACCATTTATCACCTAAGAGCTCTTAGCGTTAGCATTGCCTGCTTTTAGCTCCTTCCTGTTTTGCGTGTGATTTCACTTTGTGGATAAAAACAACAGCAGCAACACAGGATTAGAGAATATTGAGGCTTTTCCGTAAACTGAGTGTATTCTTCAAAAGTAGGGGTTTATCACCTGGTGGCTGACCTAGTAATGAGCCTCACCGAATCTAGTGAGGCTGGTCCTGGGACAGCCTATATAACTCCTCACCAATTCAAATCACCAGGCACTTAGTGAATACCCGCCATGGGTAAGGCATTGTGCTAGAGACAGAAAGACAAAAACAAATTCTGTCTTCCAAAGGAGCTTAGGTCCTGAAAAGATAAGGCACACAGATAACTGATTTACAAAGCATATATGCTAAGTCAAAGGTTTGCATTTAGTGGTTCGCAAACTCCTTGGGAATTTGTGCCAATGGCCCAGGGAGTTCAAGCTAAAAAAATTTTAATGGCGCTGTAATGAGTAAATAACTGCAGAACATTATCAGTAGGGAAGGGAATAAATATATATTAAGCCCCTAGGCAGTATGCTAAGTCCTTTACAGGTACTATTTCATTTGATCCTCACCCCACTCTGGAAGGTAGGTGCTGTTATAATTCCCAATTTCACAATTGAGGAAATTGAATTTAAGTGACTTATGCAGGGTCATGAATCTAATAAGTATCTTAGGCTGGATTTGAACTCAGGATTTCCTGACTCTGGGCCCAGTAATATATTTAATTTACCCTGGGGGTTCATGCTACATTTTTGTTGTTGTTGAAAGGCTCAAAGAATTAAAAAAAGAGGTGGAAGCCACTGTACAGAGTAATGCAAAGTAATTTCACCAGGGGAGAGATGAGAGCAAACGTTCTATAACACATGCATGTACAGTGAGTGCTAAGAGGGGAAGGCAGGGGGAGTGCATTTCAGACACGGGATGGATAGGCCCTATGCCTATAGGAGGGGATGTCATTGACCAGGAGTAACTAGTGCCCCCAGGTTGCCTGGGATGAGAGCAAAATAGGGAATAATAAGAATAAAACTAGAAAAAGGCGGGTGAGAGCCCAACTGAAGAGGACTTTAAATGCCAGGCTGAGGAGTTTGTATTGTAGATTTGGGTTCAGAAGAACTGGCTTGGATCTTTGCTCTGTTACGTCATTTAGGTGATGCAGTACATAGAGTGCTGGACTTGGGTCAGAAAGACCTCAATTTGAATCCTGCCTCTGGCACTTATTGTGTGACCCTTCACCTCTCAAACTCAATTTCCTCATTTACAAAAAAGCGGATGATATCAGTACCCCCAGGGGGTTGTAGTGGGGATAAGATAAGATAGGGAGAGGAATTTGGACCTATGATTTCATTGCAATAGGGAACCAACTCCCTTTACCAGCTGTATGTTGGGCAGCACCTTTTCTGCAGATTGATCTCAGAGATTTGCCTGAGGAATGGAGAGGTTAAATGACTCACCCAGAGTCTCACAGCCAGTATGTGATAGGTTCAACAGCCAGTATGTTGGATTTATATTTTCCTAATTCTGAGGCCGGCTCTCCATTTACTATGCTAAATTGACTCTATCAGATGAAATAGTATGTGTATAGCACTTTGCTAACTTTCAAGAATTATATAAATGTTAGCTATCATTATTACCTATATAACTTTAGGCTAGTCTCTCAACTTTTCTGGGCCTGAGTTTCTCCGTTTATAAAATGAAGGAAAGGTATTGGACTAGATGATCCATGAGGCCCCCTTTTAGTTTTACATTTGCATCGATGATTATCCTAGAGGCATTAGGGAACCCCAGAAGATTTGTAAGTACAGGAGTGATCTGATCAGGTTACCAGGCCTTTCTTGAAGTCTTTCTAGCTTGGTAGGACCCTTTAGAACTTACAGCACACCAGGATGAATAGCAAATTGTGTTTTTTAAGAAAGCATTAGTGCTTTTTGCTTTTATATCACAGTCGTTTCTGAATATTCCTAAGGGCAGGTTTCCCCTTGTCCCCAACATTGTGCCCTCCTTTGTAACAAATGAGCAGTTAATCAAACCCACTAATAGAGCAACTGAGTCTTATAACATAGGTAACATTCTGCACCTAATATCTCTCTACTGAGTGGAAGGAGGTTATGGTTCAATTGTACTTTGGGCCCAAGATTCCTCATTTCAGTCACTCAGACTTTCAGGTCCTTTCTGTGTTCATTTTTTTTTTATCAGTAAGGTCATTTTAGAACATTGTAAATATTGTTTTCCTGGACCTAATGGTTTTTGTGTCTCTATAGTTATAATATGTCATTTTTATTTAGCATCCAACAGTATCTGAGTACTGTTGGGCAGTCCTCATGAGGAAGGAGATGATTTATGCTGTCTATTTCACAAATCAGTCAATCAACAAGGATTTGTTAAGTGCCTGCTGTGTGCTAAGCATTGTATTTGACACTAATACAGGTAAGGATCATTGAATCACAGGAGTAGGAGTTAGAATAAAGAAGTTTGTTGCCTAGCTAGGGTCACACAACAAGTGGTAGAGTGGTCACTAGAACTCAGGGAACCCCAGTTTCCTAATACAATATTGTAATAATCTCTACAAGGGCAAGGAAATGATACCTTGTTCACATTTAGGTCCTCCAACAAATGGTAAAGAAACTCTGGATCCTGGAAAACCGGCCAGTATGAAATCTGGGGCAGGATGGAGATGGGGAGATCAGGTAGGTGACTCAATGGACAGTGCTGGGCCCATTTCCAGAAATACTCCTCTCCCTGAGTTTAAATTTGGCCTGAAACACTTACTAGCTGTGTGACCCTGGGCAAGTCACTTAACCCTGTGTGCTTCAGTTTTCTCATCTGTAAAAATGAGCTGGAGAAGGGCAAACTGCTCCAGTATTTTTGCCAAGAAAACTCCAAATAGTTTCACAAGGAGTTGGATATGAGTGAAAATGACTGAACAACAAATGAAATCTTGCAAAAAACAAATAGAACTAGAAATATTCAATAGAATGAAGAGCATTAGATTAGCAATTAGGAAATCTGGTTTTGGTCCTGACTCATCCCTTAAATAGTGTGACCTAGCGAAAGTTACTTCATAGCTTTGAGTCACAGAATTCCCCTTTGTTAGAGGAGGGGAGCAGTTAGATTAGATGATTTGAGGTCTCTTCCAGATATAAACTCTGTTTGGTGCTACTCTTGGAGCTTTTTCTGCCTTTCAGACCAGTAATAGCCCTGTCCCTACAAAGTTGTCCATTCTTTCCTGGTAGAGCCCAAAATTAAGTTAAGTAGTACTCGCTAGAGTGAAAGTACTTTCTCCAGGAAGTGCCCAAGACTAGAAATAGAAAGAGCTTAAGAAAAATTTAGATAAACTAATTGGTGTCTGGCTCTTATTGAATTATTAAAAGGAACTATCAAATATGGAGTGTATCCATAACTTTGAAATTGATTTCAAACCACCATGCCCTCCTACAGCAGATCTGTTTGTGTGGGCGCTGGAGATACTGTGTGGAATGCTCTAAGGTGGTAGTTCTAATAACAATTTTTTTAAAAAGCAGCATAACTTCGCGTAAAGAATACAAGTCCAAGAGTCAGAAGACTTGGTTTAAGGTCTTGTGTCTGCCATTTAAAGTATTACAATGAATAGAGTAGACTTGTACCCGAGGACAAAGCCTGACATATATGGTAGGTACTTAATAAAGCCTCCCTTGATTGACTGGGGCCAGAAGACTAAATACAGTGCTGTGAGATAGGTGAGGTTGCAGAATAAGGGAATCATAGAACTGAAAGAGTTTGAAAGATCTTAGTGGCCATCTAATCCAACACTTATTGGAGTCCTCACTATAACATAGTGCAACAGTGGTTTTCCAGCCTCTGTTGGAATTATTATTATCCTATTTGAAAGAAGAAATTGAGGCTCAGAGAGGTTCATGGTTCAGATCCTGGCTCTGCAATTTTTCTGTGTGATGTTAGCCAAATCACTTATATTCTCTGTGATTCAGTTTCCATATCTGTAAAATAAAATATTTGGATTAGATTATATGACCTCTTAGGTCCTTTCTAGCTCTAAATCTCTGATCCTGTGACCTCTCTGTGCCTCAGTTTCCTCACTTATCAAACTGAGACAATAAAAGTGCACTACCCATCACATGCATTTGTTTTTAAATAAGTTTTTTGGTTATCTTTGTTTTTTTTACATCACCATAGTTTTCTCCCATATCTCTCCTTTTCTCTTTTTTAGAGAGTTATCCTATATAACAAATAGTATATTTTTAAGACAAATAAAGAAAAATAGGGGGGGAAATCAGTATAACTGATCCGTAAATTTAAAAAGTCTGAAAATATGCACAATGTACAACACTTACAGATCCCTCTGCAAGGAGTGCAGTGAGAGTGTCCTCTCGTATCTCTTCTTTTGAGTCATGCTTCTTTGTAATTTGCAATACTTACTTTTGATTTGATTTCTGTTTGTTCTATTTACATTGTTGTAATCAGTATTTTTTCGCTTTTCTTACTTCACTCTGCATCAGTTCATGCAATTCTTTCTGTACTTCTCTATATTCATCACATTCATTGTTTTTTACAGCACAGTAATACTTTATTACATTCATGTAGCACAATTTGTATTGTTCAGTTTTTTCAGTTGTGTCTGGCTGTTCCTGACCCCATTTGGGATTTTCTTGGCAGAAATACTGAAGTGGTTTTCCATTTCTTTCTCCAGCTCATTTTACAGATAAGGACCTGGGGCCACCAGGGTTATACAGTTAAGTGTTGGAGACCAGATTTGAACTCAAGTCTTCCTGAGTCTAGGCCCAGCAAGGTATCTATGTGCTGCCTAGCTGTGCTGTTATTGTAGAAACTCAGCAGGGTATAATTTGAAATAGAGTTGTAGTTTAAACACAGGCAATTAAAAGAGAGGGAGAGAGAGAAGGGAAGGGAAGGGAAGGGAAGGGAAGGGAAAAAGGGAAGGGAAGGGAAGGGAAAAAGGGAAGGGAAGGGAAGGGAAGGGAAAAAGGGAAGGGAAGGGAAGGGAAAAGGGAAGGGAAGGGGAGGGAGGGAAGGGAAGGGAGGGAAGGGAAAAAGGGAAGGGAAGGGGAGGGAAGGGAAGGGAAGGGGAGGGAGGGGAGGGGAGGGGAGGGAAGGGAAGGGAAGGGAAGGGAAGGGAAGGGGAGGGGAGGGAAGGGAAGGGAAGGGAAGGGAAAAAGGGAAGGGAAGGGGAGGGAAGGGGAGGGAAGGGAAGGGGAGGGAGGGGAGGAGGGGAGGGAGGGAGGGAAGGGAAGGGAAGGGAAGGGAGGAGGGAGGGGAGGGGAGGGAAGGGGAGGGAGGGGAGGGGAGGGAAGGGGAGGGGAGGCAGGGAAGGGAAAAAGGGAGAAGGGAAGGGGAAGGGAAGGGAAAGGAAGGAAAAAGGGAAGGGAAGGGGAGGGAGGGAAGGGAAGGAAGGGAAGGGAAAAGGGAAGGGAAGGGGAGGGAAGGGAAGGAGGAAGGGAAGGGAAGGGAAGGGGAGGGGAGGGGAGGGAAGGGAAGGAAGGAAGGAAGGGAGGGAGGGGAGGAAGGGAAGGGAAGGAAGGGAAGGGGAGGGGAGGGAAGGGAAGGGAAGGGAAGGGAAAAAGGGAAGGGAAGGGGAGGGAAGAGAAGGGAAGGGAAGGGAGGGAGGGAGGGAGGAGGGAGGGAAGGAAGGGAAGGGAAGGGAGAGGGGAGGGAAGGGAAGGGAAGGGAAAGGAAGGGAAAAAGGGAAGGGAAGGGAAGGGGGAAGGGAAGGGAAGGGCAGGGAAGGGAAGGGAAGGGAAAAAGGGAAAGGAAGGGAAGGGAAGGGAAGGGAAGGGAAGGGAAGGGAAGGGGAGGGGAGGGGAGGGAAGGGAAGGAAGGGAGGGAGGGAGGGAAGGGAAGGGAAGGGAAGGGAAGAGATGACCGAAATCTTCTTGATGGGAAGTTCTGTGCCTGGGGGCCCAGAGGGGAAGTGCTTTGAAGGGAGATAGCTATGCAAAGAGGTGGGAGAGGGGAAGTATTTCTGACCTTGGTATTATTCTCTTGGTCTCAGTGCTAAGAGAGTCGAGTCAAGAGACTTTCTAAGTACACTCTCCCACTGCTGCCAAATCTAGTTTTGCAGGACAAAGGCTGGGACACGTCATCAGCACTTTAGGAATTCTTGGTTTACTTTAAAACAGAAGAGTGGGGCCATTTAGCCTGGCAAGATCCTTAGAAGACCAGATCCCATCCCTTATTAGCCCTTTGACCTTGGGCAATATCTCAGAGCCTTAGTTTCTTCTTTTAAAGGGATTATAATGCTTGCCTTACCTATCTCCTAGGGTTGTTGTAGAGTTCAGAAGAGATAATCTCAGTAAAATTTATGTTCCTTTTGCCCTTCCTACCGGTAGGATTTTAAAGATTGTTTAATCCATATTACTCTTCAGTTGTTGTTAACTTCAAACATCATGACAAAGTTAAAATGAAGCAATCATGAGGAGGGGGGGAGAGAATGTATTTTACAGTAGATGAACATTATATTACCACACACAAGTAAAAGCAATCAATCAAAAAAACTGTTTGTTCATTTATTACTCAGTCAACCAACTGGCATTTATAAAGGGCCTACTATGTGCTCGTAGCTCTAGAGCTGGAAGGTATCTCAGAAGCCATCAAGCCCAGTCCCCTCATTTTATAGACGAGTCCAAAGGATGTCAAATGACTTGCTCAAAGTTGTACAGGTAGTAATCAGCAGAGGTGGGTTTTGAACCAAGGTCTCCAGGCTCCACTTTTTCCATGCCTCCTGGAGGTGCTGGGAATCAAAGACAGAAATGAAACAGATGTTGTCTTCAAGGAATTCTAAATGGGTAGCAATCTATATGTGTGTGTGTGTATAACATATATACACATACACGGATAATATAATAATAATATTCAACATTTATGTAGTGCTTTACATATATTATTTCATTTGAATCTTCTGTAAATACTTTTTAGGGGGAGGCACTACTATCGTGGGGGGTGGGGTAGTTAAAATGAAATAGAAAAGGTTTCATGCTGAAGGTGGTGATTGAGCTGAGGGATTCCAGCTGGAAAAGGAAGAAGAGGAGGAGGGGAGGAGGGGGATGGGTTTGGGAAGAGGAGGAGGTGGAAGAGGAAGAGGAGAGGAGGGGGATGGGCTTGGGAAGAAGAGGAGGAGGGGGAGGAGGAGGAGGAGGAAGAAAGGGAGGGAGATGGGATGGGAAGAAGAGGAGGAGGGGGAGGAGGAGAAAGAATTGAATTGAGATATTACCTGAATAGGGGTCTGACAGTACAAAGGAACGGAGCCAAGGGACCGAGTGTACTGTGTGAGAACAGCAAGTAGACATTATGGTTAGAATGCAGAATATATCAATCAATCAGTCCATCAATACGCATTTATGAAGCACCTCCTATGTGCCAGGCACTGGGCTAAGCACTGGGGATATCAAAAGAGGCAAAAGAAAGTCCCAGCCCTCAAAGGAGCTTACAATTTAATGGGAGAGACAATAAGCAAACAAATATGTGCAAATCAGCTATTTACGGGATAAAAAGGAGTTAATTAACAGAGGGAAGGAACTGGAATTAAGAAGGATTCAGGAAGGTCTTCGGTACAAAGTTGGGACCTAAAGGAAACTAGGGAAGCCAGGAGGTGAAGTTGAGAAGGGAGAGTAGCCCCAGAATAGGGGACTGCCAGAGAAAAAGCTTGGAGCCCAGAGATGGGAGTGTGATTTCTGGAACA